TCTTCTTGTAGTTTAAAAGCCGTCCCCTTTTTTCTACCACAATCTGCCCTACTATACTACTGTACTTCATAGATTTCAGAAATCTCTAGCTGAAACACCATCAAGACTATTTTTTCTCCCTCACAATTTCACAAAACATTATAAGGAAGATTTTTTTGCATTTTCTTTTGCTTTTTATGTTTTTTTCTTAATGAGAAAGGTTTTTTCATTCCTTTTTTTGACATAAAATTTCTGTGTAAAAAACCTCCCAGTGCTATTTGTTGGCAAAAATAGCTGAATGTACAGCTTTAACCTTGAGGGATGCAGACAATTAGAGGATATTGAGATTTCTAAGGATGCCTTCCCATTTTTATGTTCTATCATTGAATGTTAATAATGAATGCGGATTGAAAATTTTTGGAATGCAATGTCATATGCCTGAAAGCCAAGAGTGTCACAGATATGATCTTTGAATTTATTTTTTTAGAACTCATTGTACCGTGTCATGTATACTTCCTCTTTTTGAATGTTGTACATGTTGCTTAACCATGCAAATTATTTAAACAAAAATAATTTTCTGTATATGGAAATGGATACTCCTAAAGGCATAGTACCATATTCCTTCATCGGTCTGGAATTTAGATCCTGTTTTCTCTCATAACTGGATGTAAAAACCCAAGAAGACATAATGTTTGTATGAGTTAAGCATGTGTTCTGAAAATCAAATTTTTGAATTTTGTCTCTTTTTCAATATCTCTTTTTAGAGTTTGCCATCAGAATGACTGAATGTTTTTTACTAGCATTCAGTTCTTTTTTCCCTGCATTCTAATTGTAGTTGGGTTTGTGGAGTTTTTTTGTTTTGTTTTGTTGGGGTTTTTTTGTTCAATACATTTTTTCCTTCACTCAGACAAGTCTATCTTTTAGGTAGACAAGTCTACCTATGTTTTTCTTGGGAAGGTCTTTATCAGTTCCTTCCATTAAATGAAAATCTACAGGAGCAGGGTGTTGACAGCCTGTGTAACAATTCAGAGGCTTCTGTTCACAAAATAAATTCTCTATGTGTTGAAAACTAGCAAACTTTCGTTTCCAAAATTGTGTCTGTTATGTGATCAAGGCATTCCCGATATTAAAATAACTGTGCCATGATTAGGACTTTGATCGGTAAGAATGATCATGATTATCACCATAAAGATTTTTTTACTCATACTTAATCAGCTAACAATCCTGATATTCTGCTTTGTCACATGAAAGAAGGGGTTGTCATATGATTGAGATTATTCATTTATATGCTAGATATTAACAAGGAGTAATAAATGTGCAAATAGTTTTTTAGGGAAACTGAATTCTCTGTATTGGAAGTTAAGATTAAGCACCTTTTGAAAGCACTTGAGACACAGCCACTTTTGCTCCCATACTTGGACTGGAGAAAAATAGTGTGAATTATTTTTATGATTACCAGACTTGATAAGGAGTCAAGAGTTAGAGATCTGAAGACATCTGAAATGGTGTCAGGAAGCAGTTGTGATGGAGCTTAGCTTTAACAGCCGCAGTATCAAACATAAACCCAACATGCTCTTCCTTCTACTGCCACCAGTATAGAGCCATTTGTATTCTCTAGATTATTCAACAAGAAAGAAAAGGTGGCAACATTCTGAGCACATGCTTTCTTACCTACATTGAAACTTGGATTTTCATATGTTGCACGTCCTTTCTCTGTTAGTCTCTTCATCATCAAGAAAAAAAAAATCCAAAACCTAGAAACCTTTGTTTAGCATCTAATTCCAAACTGGGTATGTAATTCTGGAAAGTCTTTCAGCCAGAGGATCACTGCTCAGCCAGATCCCTTAACCCAGATGTAACCTCACCAAGTATTTAACAGAGTTCTAAATTTTTGTTCCAAATTGTGCCAACAGGAGCCTCAAAAAAGGGAAGGCATTTCAGCCTTCAAATCCTAAATGTTTTGCCTTTATTTACTTTTGCAGGGATTTCACAGTATTTGGAGATTTCTCAGTATTTGACATTCTTATTGTCTAAAATCCCAGATTAGACCTGTTCTTCATTAACTTCTGATTTGTAGCATCCTCTTTTCCTAGGCACTTGGTAATTCAGAATAATGGATTTAGATCATGATCCCCTACTTCTTTATTGATATCAATACTGAAAAGTTAATTTCAAATGAAAGAAGTATGCAACCTTACTGTAATATAGAAATACTTTACATTCGCTGTTGGAAGTTACACAGCTGTATTTCTCATAGTGGCAGATAAATTAGAAAACTTGCAAGACAAAAATTATCTATCAAAACCAAAGAAACCACAGATTTTAATGTGTGTATCTAAATATGTTAAGATAACTCATGAGTCAGAATTAAAGATTATGTTTGATTATATTAATTGTTCTTTATGTTTAATAAATAAACCAGGACAGATTCTCATCTTGTTATGCTGAATAGCTTCATAGCAGAAACCTATCATGCTTTCTGGGAAATAAGGTGCTCCTCAACAAGATGAAGTGCAAAAGGACCTGTGCTCTGTGCTATCGGGGGACAGAAAGGTCACCACTCCTTGTGTAGCATCTCTGTAAGTGCTCAGATTTTGGAAAGGATACTGTGGGTTAGTTTCTTGTTGCCATTTAACTTTTGCAATCAATTTCAGATTTTTTCCTTCTCCTGGAATTAAATACACCACTACAGTAACTGGTGATGCTATAAAGGGCTGTGAATCAGTATGCATCAATCTTTCAAAGTGTACTATAATTCTCAGAAAAATCTTAGATTGGTTCACACTTTATTCTGCAATGTTCTCTTTGTAAAGTAACCATTTTTCTGTTCTATTTTACACAGTTTGTTCTACAAACTTTGTGTAACAATGTTATAACCTTTCAGAAGGCCAAGTGATAAGTGGATAGCAAAAGGATCTGCCTCATATGTCATCTGGAAAAGTCATCAGCAAGTAGTTTCAGTCCACTGTAAAGAATTGTTAATTGAAGTTTGAGTTTTAGGGCATGTCTATAAGAGACAATCCAGTCTTGGCAATCTAACAGTACAAAGTCATGGCCTATAAATGGAATTTTTTTAATTTGCATTGACTTTTATATATGGAAAAAGTTATTTAAACTAATTTTTCACTGTTGTTTTCAGATAATTTCCATCCTCATACTGATCCTAAGATCTATGCATCTAGTTAAAAATACTCTTATACAACAACTCATTTCATGTAAGGGAACAATGCTTTGCATGAGGATGCTAAGTTATTTTGACTGTGTGCTTTAACATTAGCTTTTACCTTTTTTATCCTGTCACTGAAAATTACTTTCCAAAATTCTTTTCAAGCAAAAATATTAGTGGTCCTTGAACAAGTGCTCCACAGTTCATATAGCATCCTTCATTGCAAGTTGCAAAAATAATGGGATATTTAGACTTTTAATTAACAGAAAAATGAAAATAGTATTTCAGATGCTGTCCAAGAGAAAAGCCTGCTATAATTAACCCAAACCACCCAAATAATTCTGCTTTTCACTGAAGTTTTTCTGTTAGGAAAAACCCTCCTGAATTACACTCTGTACCTCAACAAGGGCAATTTTGTAAGCAGAAGAAGCAAAGTACTCAGGAGAAATAACTAGGTATTGGGAGTTTTCTCCTGCAGGCTTGGAAAGAGTTACTTAGAGCTCTAGTGCTCCTATGAAGAAGAAGAGATATCCCTGAAATATGGATAGAATTTTCAGCAGGGGATTTTACCATTGTTACTACTTGGAGCTGCACCTGGAGCTGAAGTAACCAGGAAAACTACGTGAAATATAAAACAGGTCACTGTAGTCAGGACCTTCTTAGGTTGACCTCCTCAGGTTCTTTTTTGAACAGAGCTCCAAGAAGTATGATAAATCCATGGTTGTGATGACCTAATCTTACTGCTACAGAGATTTAATGTTCAAAACAGCAAAGTCCCTGTTTAAAGCCAGTTATAAACACCTAATAAAGGCCATAGTGGAAAAGCTGAAGGACCTTTTCCTTAAAGAAAAAGTAGCATACTCCTTCAATCTGTAGAATTACCAGCTTCACTATCCATTTTAGATGGAAGTACTTCCCATTAAGTAAAATCATGATTGTATTCATTCTCTCCAATGATGATGGTGTGAAGGATCCCATCATGCAGATGGGAAATGTTAATTTTTTACTAACCCTGGAAGAACAGGAAGTTGAAAGTCAGCCTGAGAAGAAAATAGATTGTTATTTTCTTCTAGTAAACATTCAGAAAATTGTTACTCCAAAGGGGAAAGGTGTCTACATCAAACCATGTTCTTTTGTAGCTCTGCTGTGATCAGCAGGGAAAATAAAATCGTGCAACAAAGGTGTCATTCCCACCTACAGTACTGTGTAGAAAAAAGCTGCTATTGAGAATAGTGTGCTTTTCTCCCCCTATATTCCAGGAAGTGGCATAATTCAATTATGTTTTAGACATAGACATTATATTAGAGACTATTTAGGGACACAAAATTGATAATAAACATTGATACATTAAAGTTGAGCAAAAAAATCAGTCTTTTATATGCTCCTTTTAACAAAGCCTAGTGACCACATAGAAAGGAAACTGTACTAATAGAATTTTCAAAAAAATACTACTTTGGTGGTATGGACTAAATAGAAAATCTGAGCCAAATTAAATCTGTGGACCATTTCTTAGATATTATGGAGCCACAAGATTCTGCCCTAATTTTACAGAGTTAGTCAGTATTAGGTTGGCAACTGTGTTCCAAGAGAGCAGTGATATTTTAAACTAAGTAGACTTTCAAGGTGACAGAAACAATTAAGCAAGCACTGTAAATTACATATACGATTGTCAGCAAGGAGAAAGAATTTTCTTTGCAATGTCACAACCAATATTTCCTAATTAAAATTAAAAAAAAAACCCCAAACAAAAGTGATTTTCTGGGAAAGATACAGTCTTAACAAATTTACCAAGCAAGCATTCCAGTTATTGTGCTAGCTTGAGCTAATATGATGACAGTTTATTTTCATAAGTATGATATACAGCATCATGAGACTGTGGAGATACATCTTTCAGATCTGAGAAATGCATGTCACAGCCACACCAAATAATAATTATAAAATGCAGACATACTGAAAACAATTATAGTCTTCAATGGTCATTTAAATCAACGACATCCAAAAGTTCACAAATTCAAAGTAACACATTGATACTAGTGTTAACTTGTAATAAATATATTATAGTATTGTAATGTATTGAATTCTTGTCTATCACTTATCACAGATTATGACATAATTACATGTGTCACTAGTCTATGAAATAAGTAACGGAGTTCAATATATTTACTATTCAGTAACTACAATCACTAACATCAGGAATAATTATGTCCTGAAATTATTTTAATCCCCTTCTGTGTATGTTAGCACATATAAGTACACTTCTCTATTTGAGTTAAATTATCTAGTAAAATTACTGGCAATATTCCATTTTTGATTATCATGCTCATCTTTGAAAACGTTATGCAAAATCCTTTGAAACAGCTTCTATAAAATTTGGAGCAGACATGAGGATTGTAAATGTGCAAATGATGGCAAAAAGGGTAAATGCAACCAGACATAATCTGTCTATGACAGCAGCTGCGAACTTCCACTCACTACAGATCTCTTCACCCTCATCTTGTTTCCTGAACCGCGTTGCTATGAACTGGACTTCCTCCAGGATCTTCACAATCACCGGAAGAGTGTCCATTAAAGCTTTCTTTTGCACAAGCTCAATATCTTCTGCTAAGGGGCAGGTCATCTTTCCGCCCTTGCTGCCCAAGTCATTCTGCTGTGGGCAGCATGGGCTCTCCATGGCGTGGTAGCTGTAGATGGTGTTGCCATTGCTGGACTGGTGCCCAGGAAGGACGTTCACTTCCATGCTGTTTACACTCAGCTGCTGCTTGGAATAGCTGTACTTGCAAGACAGGGGCTTTATGTTTTCCCCGGGTTTTTTCATTCGTAAAAACCAAGCACACCAATTCAGCAGGATGACACGGACCTGAAAGAGAGTTATCATGGCAGAAATACAGGAGACTCTTAAGCATTTTAAAATTTTTTGTGACTATTATAATTAGTCTACACAGTGTCTTAGAAATACTGATAGATTCCAGTGTTCTTCAGCTATCTGCTTTCAAAATGTTTCTTTGAGGGTCTAGCTTTTTAAAATGATAGCCCTTTTTTGGATCTGTCTTGAACATAGGGGTGTTCAATGCCCACTTAGCATATAAAGCAAAAAATACCTAAAATCTTACTTTACAAAATGATCCTTAGAGACCCATCTCTATCAAATACTTTGAGATCTCTGCAGTTGAGCAGACCGCCTAAAATCAGCTGCATGGTTTTCAAATATTTCTCAGATTGGAAGGAAAGATATACAGTTAAATACTTTTGGGGGCCAATATTTAGATTTTGCTGAAAAAAAAATCCCTATACAACAGATTCTAGAACATTTCCTATCCCCATTGCTATTGCTTACATCTAAATAAAAGACCTTGGTTGGGTTTTCGTGGGTTTTTGAAAGCTGTTTTATATTCCTTTGAGGAGTTCAAGCATGTATTACAGCAGGCTTTTTTTCAAAAGAGTAAATAATTACATTTAGCAGTTCAAAATCTAAGTGCCACTATTAGCTGCTGTCATTTCCCTGTGTGCTGGTGCATCACGAGATGCTCTAACGTGCACATGGCAGATTGTGCCTCATATGTTTCTTGTCAAGGTCATTAAGTGAGCTAACTCTGGAGAGTGCTTCCAGAATTTTTTTCCAGTGAACTGACCTTCAGATGTTTGGCCTGAGCCTGAGCCTGCTAGAATTCCTATTGAACACTTAACTGCGAAACACAGGAAAATGTTTGTGGATTCAGTAACATCTTGTGTTACTGCTGCTCTTGTGAAGAGCAGCAAAGCAAATTAGCAAAATCTTGTAATTATAAGATCCTCCAGGTGTTATGCATACAAAAAGGTCATTTACAACGTGCTTGAGAGGGACCCTCCATGCATACAGGCCTTTTTGATGACTTTATTACCCTGGTTGCAAGCCAAATAGTCTAACAACAAGGAGGGAACAGATGTGGCCTCTGGTTTCCCTTCTGAGCCTTGACTCACAAGGATTCCCTGTGTAATCCTGCTCCTGTTACTCTGGTCATGTTTGGCTTGGGACCACACTTTTCCTCCAAAGCTGCAGTTTTAGATGCAAGAAAAGTTGACTCCTGTGTTTGCACAGTACAGATAGAGGAATGGGGAAATTACAGCTAGCACTTGAAGTTACTGCTGTGATGACAAGCATAATTTCAGAAAGGAGGAAGCCTTAGTAATCACAGATAGGAATAATAATAGTAAAAATAGTTATAATAATAATAGTAGTAGTAGTAGTAGTAGTAGTAGTGACCACACTTTTCCTCCAAAGCTGCAGTTTTAGATGCAAGAAAAGTTGACTCCTGTGTTTGCACAGTACAGATAGAGGAATGGGGAAATTACAGCTAGCACTTGAAGTTACTGCTGTGATGACAAGCATAATTTCAGAAAGGAGGAAGCCTTAGTAATCACAGATAGGAATAATAATAGTAATAATAGTTATAATAATAATAATAGTAGTAGTAGTAGTAGTAATAGCTGCCAAAACCAATGACCAGTGAAAGACAGTTACAAAATTTTTTAATTCTGCAATGTGAGCTCTTCTATGTCACAGTCCTGTACCATTTTCTATGAGCCATGTCGCTTCTCTCCCACTAGTGAATTTTTTGTTCTTCATCATTGTCATGGTTTTGGCTGTATTTTCCTAGTAGCTGGTACAGAGTGGTGTTTTGGATTCAGTATGAGAACAAAGTTGATAAAACATTGATGTTTTGGTTGTTGGAAAGTAGCGCTTACCCTGAACCAAGGACTTTTCAGTTTCCTGTGCTCTGCCAGTGAGCAAGTGCACACAATGTCATGAGGAAGCATGGCCAGGACAGCTGACCTGAACTAGCCAGAGGGATCTTCCAAAAGGATATAAAGTGTGGGGAGTTGGTTGGAGGCTGTCAATTGCTTCTCAAAAACAGGCTGTGTATCAGTCAGCAGGTGGCAAGCAATTGTATTGTGCATCACTTGTTTCTCTTGCATTTCATTACACTCTCTCATCCTTGCTATTATTATTTTTTATTATTGTTACTCATTACTATAATTAATATTATTCATATTATTATATTGTATTCTGTTTCAATTATTGAACTGTTCTCTCAAACCACAAAGTGTTGGAGTTTTTTTCTTATTCTCACCATCACAAGGGAAGGGAGCTGGGATGTGAGCAAGTGGCTGTCTGGTACTTAAATGCCAGTTAGATTTAAACTATGAAAGTCCTGAAAGACTGTTTTCCATTATTCATATTATTTTGCTTTAAATATTTCATTATTTCCTCCATAGTCACCACAAACAAATAGTTACCCACAGTGTTGCAGCCTAAGAAACTGACTCTGCCTTTAATTGAACTTACTTAATTATAATGCGCTCAGACTGCTCATGGACTCAAAATGGGACAACATGGAACAAAATAAAGGTCTTAATTTCAAGCAATGTGTCAACAGTGTCAGTTGCAAAGGGAAGAGAGAAGTTAATTCTCTAGGACTGTGAAATTCCAAAACACTTAGTCAGACAAGCTTTCTTATTAGAAAATGCTATATGTCTGCCTTAACTCTGAGAGGATATGTGAGGTGAAAAAGAGCTTTTATATAGGAATGCTGCTTTTTCCTTCAAGACAGAGGTTTTATTCCTTAGGGAAATTACTTTTATAACAATAGTCAAATCCATTTCCCATAGAAAAATAAATACCTAGAAGACAGTAACACAGCTTTTAATTAGCTTGGATTTCAAATGCCCTATTTCCTTGAAAACACAGACACTCAGGCATCAATCTGTTCTTGTCATACCAATTAATTCAAGAGACAGCTGCAGTGTACAGGGTAGCAGCTGAGTATGATAATATGAATCTATACTCCCACCTGCATTGTCATATATGGATTTCTATGAAGGAAGTACACAGGTACAGCTGTCTTTAGAGGTCAACAACCCTTCTGTGAGTCTCTCCTAGCTATAATACAGCTATACTGCTAACCTCCATCACAGCCACCAGCCTGGCCGAGTCCAGAGCAGACAGTCTCCAATTAAAGCTCTCTTGATAAGGGACATCTGCACCTGAGGAGAACTGTGCATGTCCAGGTTTGAATCATATCAAAAGGGAAGCCTAAACATAACAAACCTGCTTTAAGCACGACAAAGAGCCACAGTTCTCTTGCCTTTCCCCACAAAACCCCTTCTTCCCTCAGTGCTTGGTCTCTCCATATCTCTTTCCCATGAAAGAGCCTTGGCTGTCAGTAGAGAAAGGTCAGTTGAGCTGTAGTCCATACTTGATGTTATCCACTTCCAAACAGCACCTGAGCTGGGCCTTCCTTAGTGGTTTTTTCCATGCTAGCTCAGCAGACATTATCAAAAGTGTCCATCAGTCAGCAGCTCTCATTTTTCAACTGAGTAGCCAAGAAATGCCTCGACTGAACACCTTGGATTTAAATTCCTCTCTTGGAAAAAGCTGGTTTGTAAGTCATCAAAGATTAATGGAAAGGAAGACACAATTCTAAGCAGTGGAATAAGGAAAGTGAACACCTGTAGAGAGGATAAACACTAACAGGCACTCTCCTCCCTCTTCTGTTGCAAAGTGCAAGTACAGAACCCCTTGAGAGAGAGGCAGGGAAAATAAACTGCTCAACTGCAAATGGTTTAGAAAGCAGCTGTGTTTAGGAAATGCATCCATTCAAATCTTCTGGGTCTGCAGAAGCTCCCACACATGCCCAATTGTCCAATGCCTCTCCCTGCAACTGACTCCAGCAGACAAATCCATTTAAACAGGAGGTGAGAACAATCTTGTAACAATATCCAATTAATTAGGGTTAGAGCTTGCAATAAACTGATGCCTGGCTCTGACAAGAACAGAACATTGTGGGAAGTAAGTAAATGGTAAGGGCAACAGCTGGTACCTGAAATGCAGAAAAATGTAATGCAAAAAATTTTATTTTTTCTTAAGTTATTTCTTCACTTCAGATTTTTTATTTTTATTTTTACTGAGCAAAAGTCATTCAAAGTGTCTCTGTAAGAAACACCTGACATAGATAGACAGGAAAAATTGAAAAAACCAAAAAACAACCCAAACCCAAAACAACAACAAAAAGAATAGATACAAACACAAATTCTAATTGAGCCTTGGCCATGGCTTGTAGAGTAAAAGTGCCTACTTTTGTGGGGTCAGCCTCTTTCCTACACACTTGACCTTCGCTCTTTTCCTCCTGAGATCCCTCAGCCCTGTCAACATGTCTGGTCTATACCTTTCACAGTCTATCATCTGCACTTTCCAGTTATGCTTCCCACAGTTTTTGCTTCCTGATGGCATGTTTTGTAATGTATGCCAGTTCAGCTGTCAGGCCACTGAACAAGGCTTCTCCCGAATGAGAAATTGTTGCACTTTGTGTTTTCTGCCAAGAAAACACGAGACTGGTAGAGAGCAAGAGCTGACTTGCAGAGCCTGTGAGGAGGACTAACATGAGCCATTGTGCCTGATCTCCTCAAAAAGCAATAAAATGGGTTCTGTTACACTGCTGCAGACTCTGCCCATGAAGACATCTGAAGCATGTTTCCCAGATTTGTGCCCTCAGATTTTGCCTACAAGCAGTTTCATCCAGAATTCACATTCACTGCTGCCTTGAAAGTCAGAGGTTTTTAAATCATACAGCACTTTGGGAAATAATTGGGAAATGTCAGGATAATTGTGTAGCATGAAAAATGTGGTGAAGAAGATATCAGAGGTTGTTGTACAACCAGACTCTTACAAACAGGGTGGTAGATAGTTGACCAGGACTATCTGCTTCTGCTTTTGTCCTTTTTCATTCTCTAAATACAAGCACAACTTGTCTATTCTAAAATCTATTTTAAAAAGGAGAGAAGGAGAAAGAGCATAATTTTCTTCTAACTTGAAAATCTAAAGGAAACACTCAATTTGAAAGCCAGCTGGCGTTGGTGCCAGACCTCACTGGGCTGACAAAGTCTGCTGATGCAGAGAAAAGAGAGTCCACATGCTAATGCACAGGGAATAGATCAGATGGCAGCAGACATACTGCCCAGTAGAGACTAGCGTTGGTTTAGCACATTCTGTCAGTACTGGTGTCTGCTGGATAAGAAATTAAAGGTCTGCACTTGCAAAGTGGATGGCGAATAACATAACTTTGTAATGACTCAAATACTCACTCTGTCATAAGGTTGAAAACAAAGGCCAAATAGGAGGAACTATTTTTAATGGAGAATAGGGGAAACTGGTTTTAGTGGAAAAGCACATTTAGTATGTTTGCTCTTTCCCTTCAATTGCAAACATAAGCATCAACTACACTGTTTGTGACTGACTCTTCAGATTAATGGAAAATATCTTCTGCCTCTCACCTATAACAAGTTTACTGTAGCTTTTAGACAACTTTCTTTTCTTTCAGTAGTAACCTCCAGAATGTTTATCACCAAAGCTGCTTACCCATTTGGGCATCTTTCCTGCTTGGGGGTCATGATGGTGAAACTGCAGAACCAGCACTGTTACCACCACAGACAGACCGACGATGACCATGATGCTAGCGAAATACTGAGCTGCAAGCAAAAGGAGGACTTGGTTACGAGGTGGGGGAATACAAAGAGCACGTAGTATTCCTTGGCCATGCCTTGAGATCCACATTTGAGAAGCACTGCATCACATCTGAACACTCTATTCTCTGGTCTGCTACACTTGTGCATTTGAGGTGTGTATCTGCTTGGCTCCCTTCTCTCCTGTGAGGGAAGGCCTAGAACACACAGAAAGTAAAAACTGTTTGGTTTTTGTCCCTGAAGAGGAGTGTAGGGCCTCAGAGTAAGAACACCTTTGTGCCTGCTGCCAGCCAGTGAGAAGTTGAGGTGACAACACCCACTGAACACCAGCATTCCCAGTCCTAGGCCTTCCCTGGTACCAGCAGAGGTGCTGGAGAGAGATGCTGTCCTCATGGTGCCTCTGTATCCCTTCAAAAAGTGTCACCAGTTCCCCACCTTTGCCCCACTATTGCTCCTAGGTGCTTAGGCATATTTCTCATTAGTCTTCTTAGACCTCAAAACACTTGTTCTAGTTACTATGAAAGAACAGTAAAGCTTCCTTCAGTGCTAAATTTGCTGTGCAGGAAAGAAACCAAGATCTTGAAAGCCAGAACTGAGGCTTGAAGCCACATCTCCTAAGTGGCAGTATAGCTTCCTCATGCCAAGTGAGGTTGATGTGCTGGAGCGTAAAGCAGAATTGCCCATGGGGAATTTGAAAGCTTCAGTGGCAAAATACCAGGGAGCATTACTGTTGGCTGACATTATGGTGCAGTGTGGGAGAGCACATCATACTGCGCCAGCGTGCAGCCTCTTGCAACCCCCAGCCCTCCCTCCCGCAGCTTGAAGAAAAAATAAAAATTCAATCAAAGCTCCAAAGCAAGTTTTGTTCTGCCCGTGTTTCTTAATACCAAATCCCACTGCTCTGGGGGCAAAAAGCTGGCCTAAAATAATGAGGTTCTAAGGCCTTCCTGAAAACAAGGCTGCAATTGCTTCAAGAGGTATGGCTTTTCATGACAAAATGAATTCTGTATCTAGATGAGACGGATAGTCCCGAGGGTGAGATGAATTTAAAGGTCTCTATTGCACTTATTCATAGAGTCAACAAGCAGGCACAAGCAGAAACCAGGTTTCATGGAAGTTGTTACATTCCCCATGTAACAGAAACACAGCAGTGTTGATATTCTTGGTTTAATCACCGCCATGAGTCAGTAAATATCATCAATATCATCAAAATGAGTCTGCAGATTTTGATGCCACCAGACTGAAATGGTGGTCCATTAAATGGCTTTAGCTAAGATTTTTCACATATCCTTGGAAAATTAGTCACCTAGTTAAACTTGGAAACAACCTGATAATATCTGACTCAAGATCCTAGACAATGATTAGCAGAGGAATTGAAGCTCCCAGGATTTTTTATGCTGTAAACCCAGAAACAGATGTTAGGAAACTGCTGTATAGAACAGCTATTAAATAGAAAACAGTTCTCTCCAGAACAGACTGGGAACGAGAGGGGAGCCAGGAGCCCATAAAGAAAGATATGTCATAGTTTTGCCTGGTGGTAGGCAAAGAAGAGGCTGGAGATGTGTCATCTGCATTTTGAGGGGAGGAGTGGGTGCTCCTGTTCAAGGTACACTGAAGTCTTCTGTTGGAAAGTAAGGATGGAGGAAATAGTGCATGGTACTTGAGACCTATGTGTTAGTATGAGGCAGTCAAATGTGTACAACATATCTCTGAGATCTGGCAGGTAGATCTCTGCCCACGAGGTGGGTGCAGGTCCTGTATTCAGAGAGAAAGTCACAAAGTCCTGGAAATGCCCAGGACTGCTCTAAGGCTGACTTTTGCCAGTCCTGAAGACACAACAGTGAAAGTAGAGGAAAAATATAGCAATGACTGGCACAGCTGCAGGGCTTTCACATCTCTAGCTGGAGATATGATGAAGGTTGCTGCCTCCTTTTGTGCAAGAGGAGAAGGTAGAACTAATAGCTATTGATCACAAAGGAATTGCTGGATCACATGCCCATGCATCTCCTTGACTGAAAACCTGACTGTCCTTACAATCTAGAGCCAGGCAGGGATGGCTAAGACCCTGTGTCTAGACTTAGTGGCCACTCCCCTGTAAGGGAAGGAAAAGCCTCAGAACTCAGTGGGTGTGCCCACAAGGCAAAAAGAAAAAAAAAAAAAAAAAGAAAAAAAAAGGAAAAAGGTATGGGTCTGAATTTCTGATCTTTTCTTCCAGGGTTTAATCATACATCCTCTCTTTCCTGGCAGCAGAAAAACATAGTCTTACTGCAGCAGGAGAACTGATGAGGAAAACTCCTGTGCTGTCCTCCATGCACCTCCTTAAAAACATGACCTAATCTTCCAGTCTGCTTATTTCTGTTCCTGACAGTCTTTTGCCCTTGCACCAGCTGTCACCATCACCCGGTGACAGCTACAAGGGCTGCTGTCCCTGTTCACCTGTGAGGAGCCAATTCAGTTTTTTTATGCCTGAACAATGGTTGTCGGAGGCACAAAGGGGAGACGTTGCACTTGTGCCATGTCCAGGAGGCAGCTAGGAGAAAATGGAGGAAAGCCTTGTCTCTGGGAGGACCTTGCCTGGCCTCCAGTTCATGTCTCGCATGGGACAGGCAGCCACCAGGGGAGCACTGAAGGCACTGTACCCCAGAGACACTCTGCAATCAATGGCAACAGGTCTCTGCCAATGGACTGCACTGGGACATCGGGCAGGGCCAAGGGTCTCCTGTCAGCAGGCAGACTTTGGGAGGAGCCGGGGATATAAAAAGTAGCTGCATCACAAGCCTTGGGAGCTCTCTGGGGCCTGTTCTCTCTTTTGCCTTTTGTCTTTTTGGGGGCTTCTTGAGGCTTAGTCTTTTTCCCAGGCCCCAGCTGACCTTTTGGCTCTCCTGCCCTTACTGGCTCTTGCTCGCCCTCGTGTCTGTCCTGCCTCCGTGTCCCTGACCAACGCCCTGTGTTCCTGCCTGAGCCACCTGTATCCAACCCTGCACACCTCCAAGCCTGCCCACCACCATGATCCTCGCCCCAGCCCTGTCCAGGTTTCTGGCCCTCCTGCCCAATCCCCCTCACCTCGTGTCCTCCCCAGAAGCTGTCCACAGGCAGGGAGCATGCACAACCTCAGGACATGGAGGGCACTCCCCAACCTCTGGAGATAATATCCTCTTTTTCCTTCTGCCTCCTCTCTCCCTCCCTCTCTCCCATTTTAATTCCTCTTGCTCCATCTTCTCTAGCCCTCTTTGGTAGAGTAAATCCTTTTTATTTTGTTTTTTCATTACCAATAAATGGTTCTCAGATACAATGTTTGCCTTGTTTGGCTTAATTTCGCAACCATCCATTATTAAAAGAACTCCATGCAGTTCCCCACAGTGGAATTCAACATCACCTCTGGCACCCTCTCTGAATATGACTATGACTATGACTCAGCCCTCTCCAGCAACCCTGTGAGCAGAGAAGCCTTTCTGCTTAAAGGACCAAGCTACAATGCTCATGGATAATACTTCTCTTGGAGCCACAGGACTTCAATCTTCACCCATTCTACCCTAGCCCCATACTGCTCTGAATTAGCAAACTCTGTTTCTGGTTCTCCACTGACGTTGCTGAGCACAGAAATAGGATGTTGTCCTGTGAGATGGGGCATGGTGTAGATGGGGGGGACAAGTAATGAGGTTTTGTCTCCCAAGCAACAGACCAGGCCTAGCCACCAGACCTTTCTGGCAGTATTTTAGGAACCATCCTAAATCCTTTTTGTTCATTTAGTGCTTTGAAGCTGTTGCCCCTACAAAGTCCTATGCCCATGTGTTGTCCTCAGGCATTCACATTGATCAAGTTGGATGTTGGATGCCTCCCACTGGTGTTCCTGTTTCTATTCTATCTTTTCAGAAAACATCAGGCTTTGCACGTGAAATGAATAACTGGGTTAGATCCACTCTAAGTCCAGTAATTTCAGTCATTCAGGGCTGAATGCTTTGTGCTTCTTGTGAGCTCAGAATGAGATATTCACTGGTCCTTCTGGAAATGTTCCAGGTGAGAGAACTAAAGCCTGTGCAAGTTGATGAAAACCTCAGATACCAGCAGAGGGGCTTCCCACCACCCTTCTTTTCTCCTATGGCAGGGACCAGGCTTGCTGCTGGCAGATGCTGTGACAGTCTACAAATGGCAACGGCAGAGTTACTCAGAGACCAAGAAAATCAAAAGATAGAGGAGAAAGTCTCTTTATGACTTACTGTTGTACACAGACAGAAAAGAAATACATAAGTGGACATATGATTATGGTACTTGTGTTTTGAAACTCTTCTCCTTTCACATGCTTTTGAAAAATAGAAATGGGAGTTTGAAAAGTAAAACTTTCTCTTGTTTAATTTTTCTGTAAAGAAAAAACCTCCAAGACTCTTGGATTTGGGAAAATCATCACTGATCATGGGGAATGAAGCTGTAAGAGCTGCCATGGATGAGAATTTCTGTTTCATGTAGGAGATTGAGCAGGGGCCTGATTCTGACAAGGTACCACACAGGACCATGAAAGGATAGGGGGGAAAAGTACTCCAAAAACTCAAATAGGGACAGAGTAAAGTGAGATGGCATCAGCTGAGAACATACTGTAAGATGACAAAAAATGTAATACGGATTAATCTAATTTTCTCTCTAGTCAGAACAACTAATGCCTTATGTTCATAACTTAAAACAATCAGTAACATAACTTAAAATGATTTGTAAATCCTGAAGGTGACAAAGCACCACATTACTTCCCCGTCCTAGTAATTTCCAATCTCATTTGCTGTAAGACTAAATGCAAGAAATCACCCCAAGCATTTGCTGCAAAGGTACTTAACTGGTGTGCAAAGTGTTCATGCTTACTGAAATGGCATAGGCATGGTAAGGAACAGCAAAGAAGGGACACAACTGGAAAATATCATTATAATGGAGCAGCAAGTAAATTGTTATTTTTTAAAAAGCAGAGGAGCTTAGCAAAATAAGACAGAGAAATTCGGTTTTGCTAACTGGAGATGGAGATA